AGAGGCACAAACGTGAGCGAGCCAGTCCTAGATGTGAAACGTAGATGCGTATCTAGGGGAATTGGTCCATAGGAGGGTCGGCGAAACCTGGGAGTGTGGCCACAGGTTAAGCTGGTAAGGGGCGTAGCGAATAGCGAACGGCCATAGAAAATGAGGTGCACTGGCATGGATCATGGAGGTACGCACCACCTCCATGACCAAACCGATGCGTCGCTCAGCGACCCCATTCTGCTGCGGGGAGTCCGGTAGGGTGTACGACTGGGTGATGCCCTCAGCACGATAGAACTGGCCAAGCCGACCGGAGGCAAGCTCGCCACCAATCTCGGAATGAAGACGCAACACAGGGAGGCCGCGATGGAATTGCGCAGTTACAACCCACGGGATATGAACGCCACTCATGTCGGCCTTCCGCTCAAGGGGAAACACCGTGGTGTAGCGCGTGTAGTTGTCGACAAGCACTAGAAAATAGCGCTCTTGACGCGTCCCAGGGATGGGGGCTAAGATTCAAACGTCCAAGTGCAGGATCTGGAGTGGCGCATTGGAGGGGGGGAATGAGGAGGGGTGAGGAGCACGGCGCAGCCGACCCTCGACGCAAGGCGTGCACGGAGGCGCGGGCGAGGGAGGGAGGGCAGGGAGCGACGCAGGGAGACCTAAGACAAGGCCGTGCTGGGACATGTGACACAACCGCAGGAGAGCAGGGTGACCTAGGCGGTGGTGCCACAGAAGCGACGAGTGGGTGAGCGGCCGACACGAGTAGGCCGCGGCGACCCGAGTAGACGCAGCCACTTGGGGGGACGCCTCTACTAGGGGGGGCGAGTTGTCGAGCGTGAACAGGTCGGACATCGAGTCCCGGGGGAACGTGGTGAGGGGGTCACTAGTGGCGGCCTCGGTATAGACTGCGTACCTCTCATGGCCAGGGAACATGGTGGTGATGCAAAGGTCATGGAGACAGCCGACACCAACTAGGTTCATGGAGAACGAGGAGATGTGCAAGCCTGTAAGGGAGCCCGAGGGAACCGCCAGACAGGGAAGGGTGGTGGAGCTACGAGTAACAACCAGACCTGAGGAGGGGTCAGCAAGCGCTACAGCGGCAGGGGCGTAAGCGTAGTGCGGTCGCGAAAGAAGCAGCCAGATGCACCAGATTCCGGTGTAAAGGAGAGCGTGGCAGTAGCGGCAGCCGACGGTTGCACTAACAAGGAGCCTAGGCTAAACAAAGTAGGAGATCCTATGCCTGACGCAGTAGGGGAGCCTAGACTATGCAGAGTGGACTCATTTACACGAGGCAAAACATGGTAATAGGGTGGAGTGACACTAGAGTCATCAGCATACATGGCATACAAAGCAGACCTAATCTGATCCATGTCCATCTCAAAGACCAGCACACAGCGACGTACCAGGCTGTGCCAATCGACAAGGTCCGGCGCAGGGCCGAACCGAAGATGGAAGAGGTCGTCAAGGCGGCGGTAACAGGGAGCTGCAGTGTGACTGGAACGGTTGCACATGGTGCCATGGTGGGGGCCGGTCTGGAGCTGGTACTGGCAAGTCACCGCGCTGAAACCGCCACCCGATACTGAGCTGCGCGCGCCTCCACCGCGACCGCCACCACCAAGGATGCCAGACCATCACAGCGGCGGAGGTCCCCACGGCTGCTGCTGATGGTGCTACTGCTGCTGCAACTATTGCTGTTGCTGCTGCTACTGCTGGGGTTGCTGCTACTGCGGCGGCTGCTCATGCTACTGCGTCGGGGCATCAGCCCCGGTCCCCTCGTCGGCACCTCCGGCACTCGCACCACGCTCGCCACCGCCGCCACCGCCACCACCGCCGCCACCCCTCCCTTCGCCACACCTCCCTTTGGGGCGGCAGCCCCTACTCGGACGAGACTGCGTAGAGGCCGTGGCGGCAGTCTCAGCAGCAGGGGCTTTCTTAGCGACTGTGGCACAGACGTCAGAGTAAGAGCACTGGGAGCGAGCATAGCCATGAAAGATAGGGATCGCCGCGGTACCGTTGGATTTAGCGATAGCATACTGGCGAATCTCTATTGCAGATAGGGTGGTGACGACCTCGACAAGGGTGAGGTCTGCGAGGTGGAGGCCTATGAAATGGTCGCGGGCAGTGGCTAGGCGGTCAGGAAGGTGCGTGGCAAAAAAATAGAGGGTAGCGCCGATGGGAGGAGGCAGTACAGTGAGCTGAGCCTCAGTGCTAGCAGCGCGGTAGCTAGTCTCAAGCGCGCGCATGTGAGTGGCAAGGTCAACGACAGTGGGGAAGAACGCGAGATCAGGAAAGAGACATACTGATATTTTTCCTCACCAGATCTCAACCCGGATATTTTTCCCCACCAGTCACGACTACTTCGACTGCTGCACCGCTCAGAGACATACGGATCCTAGCATGATTCTAATAGTGCAAGGATGCACTATCAACCGTGCTATGTTACCCTAAGTTTCGTGGCAGATACGCAATTTTTCGCCACTCTGCTCGTAATTTTTACCGGCAACGGTGCGATGAAGACGATCCATGATAAGACGAGACCAATCGACTAATGGCATCTTTGGCCACACCTCAGCATGGCTAGTCTTACAGATAACATTCAACATGAAATCGTGCACAGTACTCTTGCATACGTTCAAATACTTCACGATTTTCCTAGTGCTCACCCCTTATGCAAAAGCGTGGGTCCAGGAAGAGTGCGAGAAGATCCCTGTAAAGGTTTGCACTAACCTCGTAGATAACATGCCTAGGAGGGTGTAGGTGGTGATCAAGGCCAAGTGTCGGTTGACTAGGTACTAGTTTTGCTAGTAACTAGTTTGCTGCCTGTCCCCGGTACAAATTGTCCGGATGTGCTGTTATTAAATGTTGTCGTCTTGAAGGACCATGAAATATACTACTCTGGTTTTAGAAGATTTGAGTGAGTGCTCTAACTGCTCCTCTCTACGTGTATGGCCACCATGAATTATGGCTTAATGTTTATAGCGTACAGCTCGTCAAAATGTGAAAATATGCTAAACATGTGGACAATTGTTTCCGCCACTGTAATTACCTGATGTACTCTGGAAGTATAAAAGCACCTTGTACCAATCGATAGTGCAATCTTTCCTCGACACATTCGATCCTCTGACACTTGGTAATCAGAGCTTTTCTCACTCGGCCGCGCTCAACAAAGCAGCAGCTGCGGGAATACCGGCCTCGAAAAACCGTCGGGGGCGATGAATTTGGCGCCGATTTTGGTAAGCACCAGCTCCGCGTTTTGTGAATTACCCCCTCCCCCCCCCCCCCCCCCCCCCCCCCCCCGCGCGCGTGTTTTGAAAAGGATGGCGACCTTCGACAACGCCGAGGCTACCCAGCAGCTCTTCACGAGCATCGCAACCCTTCAGGAGGAGTTGCGAGCGGATCGCAAAGCGTGGCGAAACGAGTTCGAGCGAGTAACTCGACTCGCTGGAGCACAACATGACTCAACAACGGCGACGACGCAGCAGTCGCAGCAGTTTCTTGAGGCTCCAAAACCGCGCCCACCTGAGCCATTCGATCCGAGCGATCGAAAATCCGACACACGCAGATGGATCGCCGGGATGGAGATCTACTTCGCAGCCGTCGGATGGAGCTCGCCAGTCTGGGACGGACAACGCGTACGACTCGCAGCGACGCTGATGCGAGGACCGGCACTCGAGTGGATTGGCAGCAACAGCACCTTTTTCCATGGTGAAGCCACGTGCCAGCAGTTCCGCACCGACCTGCTGAAATGCTTCGAGCCAATAAATTCAGGTTTCCTTGCCCGGGAAAAAAATCATCGACATTGACAGTTCGGGAGTGTAGCAGAGTACACGCAGCAGATGGAAGAAATTTAAAACCGTATTCTGGACCTGACTGAAGGGGAAAAAGTATAGTCTTATCTCGCCGGGCTGAAGACCGAAGTCAAACAACAGGTAGCAGCGTCAAACAACACGAGCTACAGTGACGTCATTTCGGCAGCGGAGCGCTTCAACATGGTCAACGCCGGGACACGACGGACGCATATCGGCAGTACGCGACAGGGCAACCGCTCGGCTCACACCACGTTCGCCGACCCGATGGAAATTGACAGGTTCGACGGGCGGCCACGTCCGAAAAACACCAACTATACGTGTGATTTTTGCGGGGTGCCGGGCTATCGAATCTTCGATTGCAACAAAATGAAAGCCGCACGAGCAGAGTATCGGGCAAGCAACAGTGGCGGAATCCCTTCGGCCAATCAGAAGACAAAAACCGGGAGTCGCCAGTGATTGCGGATCTAGCTGGCGAAAAAGAAAAGATCCGGAAGCGGCCGCGGGATCCCGGGAAAATCAACTTCAACGAAGCTGATTCGACGCGAGCAGGAGGAAATGATGGGGAAAAATCTCCACCCCACGACCAATCTTCGCCAGGGAAAATCGCCGAGAAAAAATCCGACTCCGCGAAAAAAGACTTTGCCGCGACGGGGAAACTCCTTGAAGACCCAAGAAATTATAAGGATTCGTTAAAGCTATCATATAAAGATGCTTTAATGAAAAAATATGATTCTCGAGGGGCTAGAGCCTTGGAGAGATTTCGGGAGGGACTCCAGAAGAAGCAGAAAATTGTGGAGATCATACCGGTGCCGGACAACTTGGGGAAAAAATTAAGGAGTGTGGAAAGAAGCTGACCTTTCCACGGAGTCAACGTCCTCTCCCGACACCAGCCCACAACGACTACCTGTTCCCCAGGGAAGACGTCGGTGGAGCTGAAGCAGCTCAAGAGGAAGCTGGGGGTCTACAAGAAGCTGCAAAAACCCCGAACTCCTCCTCCGGATGCATCCAGCTCAGCAACTTTGGCATCAACGACATGCACTGTTGTCAAGGAAACTCCGGGCCCTGGAGAAGAGCCTTTCTCCAAGCAGCCTCAGCCAGCTGCCAGCTCAGGAGTAGATAGCAACGAAAAGATGTGTATGGACTATTGGGATGTACCCTACGACCCAACTAATGAAACTATCTTTGGGTACTCCGAGCAACGCCCGCCCCTCATGCTCGAGGTCATCTGCAAAGGACGACGCCTCCAAGCACTCGTGGACAGCGGAGCATCGCACACTGTCTGCGACAAGGCAGTAATCGACCGACTTCGGGAAGAGTACAAGCCTTCAATATTCTCTGCAACGATGGTGGACGGCAGCAAGTTACCAGTACACGGCAAAGCAGTGTTACACCTACAAATTGGACCACTGCGCTGGAGACCTGCACTCCCCATCACCAACATAGAAGGGCTTGACCTGATCTCCGGGAGAGACTTCCTCAAAAGATTCAACCCCGAGATCAACTGGGTAAACCGCACTGCAAGCATCTATAACAATGGAAGGAGAGTACAGCTACCCAACTGGGATGATACAGGACATATCCCAGTGGAGACACTCGCACGATTCGAGAAGGACGTGAAGCGAACCGACACCGGGTTCCTGGCGATAGCAACAGAGGTGGAAAACGACGGGGAGAAAACCTTGGAACCTCCAAGAAAAATCAAGGAATTACTAAAAGAGTTCCAGGACATTCTTCTTGGCGATCTTCCGAACGAGCTACCGCCATAACGAACACATCAACACGAGATCGTGTAGGAACCAGGTTTGAAGCCGACCTTCCGAGCACCATATCGGCTCAGCCCCACTGAGCTGACCGACATGAAAAAACAGATCGAGTATCTCCTCGCCAAAGGACGCATCATACCATCTACTTTGCCATACGGTGCCCAAGTGCTCTTCACACCGAAACCGGACGGAAGCCTGCGCATGTGCATCGATTACCGAGCTCTTAACAAGCATACCATCAAGAATAAGTACCTGATTCCACGAATCGATGACCTGCTTGACCAGCTTCGGGAAGCTACGGTATTTTCCAAACTGGATCTGTGGTCCGGATACAGGCAGATACGAATGGCGGATAACTCCATCCACAAAACTGCCTTCCGCACTCGGTACGGATTGTACGAGTATTTGGTAATGCCGTACGGACTCACCAACGCACCGGTAACGTTCCAAGCCGAAATGAACCATATCCTACGCCCACTTTTAGATGAATGCGTGGTTGTGTACGTGGACGACATCCTCATCTTTTCGCGCAACATGAAACAGCACGTCGAACACCTGCGACGCGTCTTCGAAATTCTTCGACAAGAACGATTCTATGTCAAATTGTCCAAGAGCGAATTCGCCCTTGAGAAAGTCCAATTCCTAGGACACATGGTGAGCGCTCAAGGAGTTCACGTCGACCCCAAGAAAATCAAAGCCGTACGTACGTGGAAGACACCCGAGAACATGAAGGAGTTGCAGCAATTCCTAGGCTTTGCTAATTATTACAACAGGTTCGTGCCACAGTACGCGAAACTCGCAGCACCACTCACGAATCTGCTGAAGTAGAACACGCCCTATAAATGGGAGCTGAACCACCAGGAAGCCGTGGAGCAGCTGAAACAAGCACTCACGTCCTCACTAGTACTCATCTTGCCAGACCCCGAACGCGACTACGTCATCGAAGCTAACGCCAGCGACCAGGCAGTGGGAGCAGTCTTGATGCAAGACCAGGGGAATGGATTGCAACCAATCGCCTACCTAAGCAAGAAACTACATGGGGCAGAACTAAACTACCCGATACACGACAAAGAGGCCCTTGCTATCATCATTGCGTTCAATGCATGGAGATGTTATCTCGAAGGACGAAGAACAACCGTCTACACCGACCACTGAAGCCTGAAATACTTGAAGACACAACCCAACCTTTCCAGGCGACAGGTCCGGTGGATCGACTTCCTCAAGACACACTTCCACTACGACATCGTGTACAAGCCCAGCCACAAAAACAAAGCGGACGCCCTTAGCCGGCTTGCACATGTTGCCGCAATCCAGGTTGAGGGGATGAATTCACTACTCAAGTGACTCTTCACATACGGGTACACCATCAACACCAAAATTCCCTTGGCAGAAAAGCAACATCTGCTACAGTGGGACAACGACATCGCGTACCGGAAAGGATCAACGAAGATCTGGGTACCTAATTACCCTCCATTGCGCCAGTTACTACCCGAAGAATACCACGACGTCATGTATGCGGGACACTTTGGTAGCAACAAGACGCTGACCGGTATCGCGAAGCACTACCACTGGCCCCACTTGGCAGAAGATGTTCAGAAATTCGTCACCTCATGTGATACATGTCAACGAATGAAGAGCAGCAAGCAAAAGAAGGCGGGACTACTACAACCACTTCTTGTCCCAGAACAACCATGGCAAGTGGTTAGCCTGGACTTCATCATCAGGTTACCACCGACCATTAGCGGTCATGACGCAATCCTTGTCGTCATCGACAAATTCTTCAAAATGGGACACTTCATCCCGACACACACGACAGCACGCACCGAAGAAACAGTACAATTCTTCGTTCGCTACATCATCTCACAGTATGGCATTCCAACCACGCTCATCTCCGACCGAGACCCCAAGTTCACCAGCAAGTTCTGGAAGGAACTAATGTCTCTGCTCGGGACCAAAATTGCCATGTCATCCGCCTACCATCTGCAGACAGACGGACAGACCGAGCGCCTCAACCAGATTGTCGAGCAACTCCTCCGAGCAGCCTGCAAGGACAAGATCTCCAAATGGGACTTGCACGTGCCCGTACTAGAGTTTGCTTACAACATCGTTACACATGCCGCTACTGGACAGACGCCGTTCTTCCTTTGCTACGGACGCCACCCACTCACACCACAAAAACCGACAGCCTCAGCTACAGTCCAACCTGCACACGATTTCATCACAACCATGCATCAGCTTTGGGATCGGACCCACAAGTGTAAGCGTACGACCCCGTTACACCACTTGTTCCTTTCCCTATTTCCTTTCCATTCCATTTCTCTTTTTATACCATCTCATTTGGTTTCCTATTCTCCATTTTCCATTATCATTTGGTTTATCCTACTATTATAATTATATCACCGACCAGGCTTGGGATGTACTGGTGCGCTATATCCAGCGTAATCCTGCCATAATCCCTTAAAGCCAATAGCCTCGCGTGGCTATACGCAGGGTGATTCTATTTTCTCGAAGGGTCTATTCCTTAAGGATAAGATAAACCTGGTTACCTGATGTACTTTGGAAGTATAAAAGCGCCTTGTACTGATCGATAGTGCAACCTTTCCTCGACACATTCGATCCTGTGACACTTGGTAATCAGAGCTTTTCTCACTCGACCGCGCTCAACAAAGCAGCAGCAGCGGGAAAACCTGCCTTGAAAAATCGATGGGGGCGACCAATTCGATGCCGATTCTGGTAAGCACCAGCTCCGCGCTTTTTCGAATTACCCCCCCTGCGCATGTTTTTAACAGGATGGCAAACTTCGACAACGCCGAGCTTACCCAACAGCTCTTCACGAGCATCGCAGCCCTTCAGGAGGAGATGGGAGCGGATCGCGAAGCGTAGCAAAACGAGTTCGAGTGAGTAACTCGACTCGCCGGAGCGCAATACGAAACGACAACGGCGATGACGCAGCAGTCGCAGCAGTTTCTCGAGGCTCCGAAACCGCACCCACCTGAGCCGTTCGATCCGAGCGATTGAAATTCCGACGTCCACTGATGGATCGCCGGCATGGAGATCTACTTCGCAGCCGTCGGATGGAGCTCGCCAGTCTGGGACGGTCAACACGTACGACTCGTAGCGACAGTGATGCGAGGGCCGGCACTCGAGTGGATTGGCGGTAACAGCACGTTCATCCACGGCGAAGCCACGTGGCAGCACTTCCGAATCGACCTGCTGAAACGTTTCGAGCCGATAAATTCGGGTTTCCTTGCCCGGGAAAAAATCCATCGCCATCGACAGTTCCGGAGTGTAGCGCAGTACACACAGCAGATGCAGGAATTTTATAATCGAATTCCCGCCCTGATCGAAGGGGAAAAAGTACAGTTGTACCTCGCCGGGCTGAAGACCGAAGTCAAACGACAGGTAGCAGCGACGAATTACGCGAGCTACGGTGACGTCGTTTCGGAAGCGGAGCGCTTCGACATGGTCAATGCCAGAACACGACGGATGCACATTGGCAGTACGCGACAGGGCGACCGCTCGGCTCACCCCACATTCGCCGACCCGATGGAAATCGACAGGTTCGACGGACGGCCACGTCCGAAAAACACCAACTACACGTGTGATTTTTGCGGGGTGCCGGGTTATCAAATCTTCGACTGCAACAAAATGAAAGCCGCACACGCCAGGTATCGGGCACGCAACGGTGGCGGAAATCCTTCGGCCAATCTGAAGCAAAGAAATGGGACTCGCCAGTAATTGCGGATCTAGCTGGCGAAAAAGTAAAGATCCGAAAGCCGCCGCGGACTTCTGGAAAAATCAAATTCGACGCAGCCGATTCGTCGCGAACAGGAGAAAATGATGAGGAAAAATCTCCACCCCACGACCAGTCTTTGCCAGAGGAATTCGCCGCGGAAAAGTCTAACTCGGCGAAAAAGGAAACTCCTTGAAAACCCAAAAAATTATAAGGATTCGTTAAAGTTATCTTATAAAGATGCCTTAATGAAAACTTGTAATTCTTGAGGGGCTAGAGCCTTGGAGAAAATTCGGGAGGGACTTAACAAGAAGCAGAAAATTGTGGAGATCAGACCGGTACCGGAGAACTTGGGGACCAAATTAAGGAGTGTGGAAAGAAGCTGACCTTTCCACGGAGTCAACCTCTCCCGACACCAGCCCACAGTGACTACCCGTTCCCCAGGGAAGATGTTGGTGGAGCTGAAGCAGCTCAAAAGGAAGCTGGGGGTCTACAAGAAGCTGCAAAAACCTCGAACTCCTTCCGATGCATCCAACTCGGCAACTTCGTTAACGACAAGAACAGTCGTCACGGAAACTCCGGGCCCTGGAGAAGAGCCGTTCTCCAAGCAGCCTCGGCCACCTGCCAGCTCAGGAGAAGGAAGCAACGAATATTGGGATGTACCCTATGACCCAATCAATAAACCTATCTTTGGGTACTACGAACAATGCATGCCCCTCGTGCTCGCAAAGAACGACCCCTCCAAGCACTCGTGGACAACGGAGCATCGCACACTGTATGCGACAAGGCAACCATCGACCGACTTCGAGAAGAGTACAAGCCATCAGCGTTTTCTGCAATGATGGTGGACAAAAGCAAGTTACCAGTATACGGCAAAGAAGTGTTACATCTACAAATTGGACCACTGCGCTAGAGACCTGCACACCCCATCACCAACATCAAAGGGCTTGACCTGATCTTCAGGCGAGATTTCCTAAAACGATTCAACCCCGAGATCAAATGGGTAAACCGCACCGCAAGCATCTACAACAAAGGAAAGAGAGTACAGCTACCCAACTGGGATGATACTGGAGATATCCCAGTGGAGACACTCGCCAAATTCGAGAAGGACGTCAAGCGAACCAACACCGGATTCCTGGCGATAGCAACACAGGTAGAGAATGACAGAGAGAAAGCCTCGGAACCTCCAGAAAAGATCAAGGACTTACTGAAGGAGTTCCAAGACATTCTACCCGACGACCTCCCGGACGAGCTACCGCCATACCGAACGCACCAACATGAGATTGTGGAGGAACCAGGTTCGAAGCCGACCTTCCGAGCACCATATCGGCTCAACCCCACAGAGCTAGCCGACATGAAAAAGCAAATCGAGTATCTCCTCGCCAAAGGACTCATCCGACCATCCACTTCTCCATACGGTGCCCCAGCACTCTTCACACCGAAACTGGACAGAAGCCTGCGCATGTGCATGGACTACCGAGCTCTCAACAAGCAGACCATCAAGAACAAGTACCCGATTCCACGAATCGATGATCTGCTCGACCAGCTTCGGGGAGCCACGGTATTCTCAAAATTAGATCTGCGGTCCGGATACTGGCAGATAAGAATGGCGGACGATTCTATTCACAAAACAGCCTTCCGAACTCGATACGGATCGTACGAGTATCTGGTGATGCCGTTCGGACTCACCAACGCACCTGCAACGTTCCAAGCAGAGATGAATCACATCCTACGCCCACTCTTGGACGAATGCATAGTGGTGTACTTGGACGATTTTCTCGTCTACTCGCGAGACATGCAACAATATGTCGAACACTTACGACGCGTCTTCGAGATTCTTCGACGAGAACGCTTCTACGTCAAACTATCCAAGAGCGACTTCGCCCTCGAGAAAGTCCAATTTCTCGGACTTATCGTAAGCGCTCAAGGAGTTCACGTCGACCCCAAGAAAATCGAAGCCGTGCATACGTGGAAGACACCCGAGAATGTGAAGGAGTTACAACTGTTCTTTGGCTTCGCTAACTACTACAACAGGTTCGTGCCGCAATACGCGAAAATTGCCGCGCCACTCACGAATCGGCTAAAAAAGAACATGCCCTATAAATAGGAGCCGAAGCACCAGGAAGCCGTGGAGCAGCTGAAGCAAGCACTCATGTCCGCACCCGTACTCATCTTGCCAGACCCCGAACGCGACTACGTCATCGAAGCTGACGCCAGCGACCAGGCGGTGGGAGCAGTCTTGATGCAAGACCAGGGGAATGGACTTCAACCAATCGCTTAGCTCAGCAAGAAACTACACGGGGCAGAACTAAACTACCCGATACATGACAAGGAGGCCCTGGCTATCATCATCGCCTTCAAAACGTGGAGATGCTATCTTGAAGGACGCAAGACGACAGTCTACACTGACCATTGCAGCCTAAAATATTTGAAGACGCAACCAAGCCTTTCCATGCGACAAGTTCGGTGGATCGACTTCCTCGAGCCGCACTTCCACTACGACATCGTGTGCAAGCCTGGCCATAAAAACAAAGCTGATGCGCTTAGCCGGCATGCACACGTTGCCGCTATCCAAGTTGAAGGGATGAATCCACTCCTCAAGGGACTCTTCGGTAGCAACAAGACGCTCACCGGTATCGCCAAACACTACTACTGGCCCCACATGGCAGATGACGTACAGAAATTCGTCACCTCGTGCACTACATGTCAGCGAATGAAGAGCAGCAAGCAGGAAAAGGCGGGTCTACTACAGCCTCTTCCTGTCCCAGAACAGCCATGGCAAGTGGTCAGCCTAGGCTTCATCACCGGTCTACCAACTACCACAAGCGGACATGACGCGATCCTCGTCGTCATTGACAAGTTCTCCAAAATGGGACACTTCATCCCGACACACACGACAGCACGCACCGAGGAGATGGCACAACTCTTTGTTCGCTACATCACCTCACAACATGGCATTCCGACCAAACTCATCTCCGACCGAGACCCTAAGTTCACCAGTAAATTCTGGAAAGCACTGATGTCTCTGCTCGGGACCAAACTCGCCATGTCATCCGCTTACCATCCGCAGACAGACGGACAGACCGAGCGCCTCAACCAGATTGTCGAGCAACTCCTCCGAGCAGCCTGCAAGGACGAGATCTCCAAATGGGACCTGCACCTGCCTGTTCCAGAGTTTGCTTACAACAACGCTACGCATGCCGCTACTAGACAGACGCTGTTCTTCCTCTGCTACGGATGCCACCCTCTCACACCACAGAAACTGACAACATCCACCACAGTTCAACATGCACATGATTTCATTACAACCATGCATCAGCTTTGGGATCGAACCCTTAAGCGCCTTCTCGACATTCAGCAACAACAGAAGCGCCAGGCCGATTGCCACCGCACAGACCACACCATCACCGTGCGAGATCAAGTCCTACTCGACACGCGCAATCTTAACATCAGCCATCTCCCATCCAAACTGCGACCTCGCTTCTGCGGGCCCTTTCTCGTTGAAGCACACGTCACTCCTGTTACCTTCCGCTTACGCCTGCCAGCTGCTTGGAAGATTCACAATGCCTTCCATGTCCAACTTTTGAAGCCCTATCGGGATCCGAACATGATCTTCGTCGGATGCCAACCACCGCCGCCGCCGCCCGTCCTCGTCCAGAATGAACCCAAGTACGAGGTCGAGTCCGTGCTTGCACACCGCCGTCATCGGAATGGCACCGTGGAGCTTCTCATTCGTTGGAAGGGTTATGATCCTTCTGAGGACAGCTGGGTCTCTGAGTCCAACATGGGTAATGCCCGTCGTCCTCTGCATTACTACCTTGTCAAGCAGGGTGTTACTGTTAGAAATAGACTGCAAATACCACTTTTGTATTTGTACTTTTATATCCTAGTTTAGGTTATGAATGTTCTAGTGGGTTGGGGTGTACTCACAAATCCCAACCTCACCCAATTCTGATCCCCCCAATCTCCAATTACCCAATTGGAGATTCCGGAGATCCCAATGGGGATTCCCTCCAATTCTCCCTTCATCCATTCACTCTCACCTTGCCATGTACTTATAGAGCCTTGGGATCCTTGCCTAATCAATCATTTCAACTCTATTTCTTACAGTTACTTCTACCACCCAGCTTTGAGGGGGGGAAGTGTGAGAGTACGACCCCGTTACATTTTTTGTTCCTTTCCCTATTTCCTTTCCATTCCATTTCTCTTTTTATATCATCTCATTTGGTTTCCTATTCTCCATTTTCCATTATTTTTTGGTTTATCTTGTTATTATCATTATATCACCGACCAGGCTTGGGATGTACTGGTGCGCTATATCTAGCTTAATCCTGCCGTTATCCCTTAAAGCCAATAGCCTCGCGTGGCTATACACTGGGTGATTCTGTTTTCTAGAAGGGTATATTCCCTTGGGATAAGATAAACCTGGTTACCTGATGTAATTTGGAAGTATAAAAGCGCCTTGTACTGATCGATAGTGCAACCTTTCCTCGACACATTCGATCCTGTGACAACAAGCGCCTCCTCGACATTCAGCAGCAACAGAAGCGCCAGGCCGATCGCCATTGCAACGATCACACCATTACCATGGGAGACCAGGTGCTCCTCGACACCCGCAACCTTGACATTAGCCATCTCCCATCTAAACTTTAACCTCGCTTCTGCGGGCCTTTCCTCGTTGAAGCACAGGTTACTCGAGTTACCTTCCGCTTACGCCTGCCAGCTACCTGGAAGATTCACAACAACTTCCATGTTCAACTTCTGAAGCCCTATCGGGATCCAAACACGACCTTCGTCGGACGCCAACCGCTGCCGTCGCCGCCCGTCCTCGTCCAGAATGAACCCGAGTACGAGGTCGAGTCCGTGCTTGCACACCGCTGTCGTCGGAATGGCACCGTGGAGCTTCTTATTCGTTGGAAGGGTTATGATCCTTCTGAGGACAGCTGGGTACCTGAGACCGACATGGGTAACGCCCGTCGTCCTCTGCATGACTACCTTGTCAAGCACGGTGTTACTTCTATCACCCAGCTTTGAGGGGGGGGAAGTGTGAGAGTACGACCCCGTTACACCACTTGGCCCTTCCTATTTCATTCCTCTTGTTTTCCCATCTCATTTGGTTTCCTATTCTCCATTTTCCATTATCCTTTGGTTTATCCTGCTATTATAATTATATCACCGACCAGGCTCGGGATGTACTGGCGTGCTATATCTAGCGTAATCCTGCCGTAATCCCTTAAAGCCAATAGCCTCGCGTGGCTATACGCAGGGTGATTCTATATTCTAGAAGGGTCTATTCCCTTGGATAGGATAAACCTGGTTACCTGATGTACTCTGGAAGTATAAAAGCACCTTGTACCTATCGATAGTGCAATCTTTCCTCGACACATTCGATACTGTGACACCTGCACTGACCTAGGAGAGCTGCGGCGCTACCTTGGCCTGCAGATCTCCAAGGACAGAGCAGCGCGCACCATCACTCTCACACAGTGACACTTGGTGCGCCCGGTCCTTTAGAGGTTCGGCCTTCAGTTCTCCTCCGCACAGCCCACACCTCTGCCAGTAGACCACATGCTCTCTGCTCCGGTTCCTAAGGAGTTAGCAGAGCCCAGTGGTCCATACGCAGAGTTGGTGGGTTGCCTCATGTACTTGAGGGCTACTCCTTTAGCCTTGGTTCGGGTGCCATCTCGTGGAGGTCCACTCGCTCCTCTTCTACTTCCCAGTCCAGCTGTGAGGCTGAGATCTACGCAGTGCCATGGCGGCACAGGAGTTCCGCTGGCTGACCTTCTTGCTTACCGACTTAGGTGAGCGGCCTAGCTCTGCCCTGGTTCTGTACGCTGACAACAGGGCCATGATCCTCCTGTGTCAGGAGCCTCGACTTGAGGGCAGAGCGAAGCACATCCATCTGCGGTACTTCCTCCTGCGCGAGCTACAGCATCGTCGCTAGGCTCGCATAGTACACTTGGCCTCCGGTGCCAACACAACTGATATCTTTACTAAGGCGTTGTTTGGAGCTTGGTCTAGTTCCTTTAGATTCTCACTTCCTAGGACCTTGATTGTGTACTCCTCTTTATCTATACCTTTCAGACTGGCCTTGTGGCTTCTCTTCCAGTGGCCGGACTAGTAGTGTCGCCCTTGTTTGCTCCTGTCTTGTTTGTACTCTTGCTGACTAGTCTTCGGAACCCTGTCTCAGCGGTTGGACTAGTAGTGCCACCCTGAGCTGCGTGTTTCTTGCTCAGCACTACCCCTTGTCTAGCCTAGGGGGTGTGTCAACTTATACATATGTTTGTATATATAAGTTATAGACTAGATAGGTGTGTGTTCTTAGAGGGTACAACACCAACCCTATATCTCCCTTGTTCTCCCTTAATCTATTCATTATTGGATTCTAATAGACAATATGTGCGTATAGTATCGCGACTATCCGCGTGACATGACTAGTGACTATGTGTGTAACTATGAGTGGCGTGGCCCTTCGTGAGACTATACGCGCGAACCTACTGTCCACGCGTTGAGTCGTTACTGTTGTCGTCATCACGCGCGTCCTTCCATAGGAGGTATCACGCTGATAGCATTTTCTAAACGGTAACTCTATCGAGTATACTTCAACAGACTGATTTCAGCTCAAAAAGTGAAATCATCTGACACTGCTATTCCTCTTCTCCCCTGCCTTCCCCCCGCCTTCTCCCTGTTTTCCCCCAGCTGGCCCTTGCGGAGAATCCGCACGGTGGGGGGAAACAAACCACCTATCTACTTCCCCGTGCATAGGCTCAGCCGGTGGGGCAGAAGGGGATAGATGGGCGGAATCCAAGGTGGGGGGAAAGATGGGGGGGTAGTAAAATGTATAGAATATTGGGAAGATTGGAAGTGGGTGAGGGTAACCAAGGGGAGGAGAGCGGAAGGAGAGGAGGAAGAGGGGGGAGGGGAAGGGGAGAGGGAGGAGAGGTGCGCAAAGGAGTAGGGAGGAAGAGGAGTGGGAAGCAGAGGTGGAGCAGGGTGGTGGAGGTGCCAGTGGCTGTGTTTACTCGGAACGAGTATGGTACGAGAAGGCCCACGGAGGCACAATAGCGGCACCAAGGAGGCAGCAAGAGCGAGCGAAGACGGATGAAAAATAGAGAAGATCCGGTGGCAGCAGTAGCAAAAGAAAGCCGCAGAATATTCTGAAGTGTCTGCAAAAGATTCGCTGTGAGTTGGAGAGTTCCCTAACCCTAGTTTCTCATCCGGTGTCCTCTTTGTTCCTCACCCATAGCCATCAGCATTCGCATGTATTCGCAAGCGTATTGAAGCACCAATATTCACAAACTTATAAACACAACCACCTGTACTCGGATACATATAGTTGCATCCACCGATGCATAGTCGCACCTACTTTTTATGAGCTACCGCTCAAAATTCGCTCATTGCACGGTACACCACCCTTCACCAAAACATTCCCCTGAACTCTCCCTACATCCATCCTGTACACCTTCTTTGTCAACAAATATACATTTATATGTTAGCTAGGTTATATTTGTTATATCCTAGCTAAGTCAGTACTTAGAAGGCACAACACCCACTCTTGTACTCTCTCGTCATTTCCCCTTATCACTTATCATGCCCTACTTTCACATTATCGCAATTGGCTTGCCTTATTCTCCCATTCCTATTCATATCAGCGTGGCCTCCCTTGTCCTGCTCGCCTTATATAGGGCCATGTGCAGAAAATTCTTACTCTTCTCCCTCCAAGAGGCTATATTTTCTTTCTTTTTTTGTGCTTCCACATCCATTATAGCTCGTTGTGATTGTTGGTTGTAAACAAATACTTATACACGCTTCACACTTTTATCCAAACGCGTATCCAGCCTCGAAGCGGCTTCAGACACGAGTGGTCGGCCGGCGCTCTGCGACAGCAACACGATGTAACCCGTCGTAAGCGACACAGCAACAACACAGGCCAGGGCTGGCTGGGATAAGGGGATTTCAGCAAGTTACCAACGGCTTTATGAGCCCAGCCAATTAGAGAATGGAGCGATGTGGTGATGCCGACTTAGTCGGCCATGGAACGACAAATGTTGCAGAGAGGACCGAGCAGCAGCAGCGCTCCGTCTTGGCAGGCTGCGACTGCTGTACAGGGCGAAACTGGAGGATAGCTGTGGAACAGCATGACTTGAGGGCTTGGTGCTGAGGGTCTTTCTGGAGGACCCTCTCAAGACTACCGCAAGGTGAGAGGGCCCCAGGGGAAGCCGGCAAGCTCTCAGCATCATGCTGAGTACTTCCCGCGCGACGCGACTCGATGCAGGATTCTTTCTTGCAAGAGAGCCTTTGGAGGGTTAGCGCAGCCACAGCTTATGAGTATAAGACTGCTTTATATGTTCCCAAGAATCAAGTTTCAAGGATCGCAGAGTCGGGTTTGTCTTGGGAAATCATCTTCGTGTCTCGTAGAAAAGAAAAGAAAACCATCCGAAGCGAAAAACTTTCAGTGTATGCAAGGATGGATCGCTATTCTCATATTTCTCGAGTCCCTTTCCTCTCTCTCAGGCTGCTGCTACTGCTGCTGTCGCTCGCCGCGTGGCACCAGGCTGCAGCTGCAGCTCCCACGAACGAGCAGATGCAGGTGGAGGTCTCTAATCTCCAGCTCGCTGCTGCAGCCAGGCCACGCTACTCCGTCATCGCTAGGTTCCTGGAAAGGGCGAGTAAGCAACTTGTGCTGAAAACGTACTGTTCACGATTTGGCGTGACCTGGTGGGGCCATGTGACTTGAGGGCGAGTAAGGACCTTGACGGTACCTTACATCATGAATCATGATGAGCAAGGAATGTGACTTGACGACCTGATGTGAGCATGTCATGTCATGAAGTTGCCTTGCATGGCGTGCTCTTCAGTTGTGCTTTTCTCCATGTTGTCCTCTGTTCGTTCCCCTCGTCATATCCCTGCCCGGTCCCTTCTGCGTGTTCCTCCCCTTTCCTCCAGTTGAGAATCCCGATTCCAACTACACCCTACTCCAGAACACGACCATATTACTTCCTTCCAATCAGGCGTTGATCGACACGCTGCTGCGAGCTTGGGATAATGGCACAGAGTGGTTGCGCACAGTGTCTTACAACATCATCAATGGCCTGTACACGCTTAGGGGACTGCGACAACTGCCTCGAAATGCGCAGATTCCAACATTGTTGGAAGGTGCAAACCTCACCAAATTCAACCCCAGCTTCAGTGTGGCACTTGGCCAGCCAGGAACGAAGCTGTATACTTGGGCAGTGGTGAAGATTCCCAATCTGTACAATGGGGTGTTTCTCAAAGCACATGGCGTGGACAGGTGGGTTGTGCCACCGGTGGCATAGCTCTTGCTTTGCAAGTGGGGCCATCTTTTGAAGCTGGGTTGGGATGGGACAGCTTGAGAGAAGGCCTTTTGCTATGTGTATGGGCACATGTTTTTTGGTTACAGCATGGATGCTGCTGATGTAGTGTAGTGCCCTGTAGTGTAACAGCTAGGGGAATGAGGCGGACCTGAAGTGTTTTCTCGTGAATTTGAGTTTTTGTTGTGTTCTCTGCATTATACCGTCCGTACCGTAGTATAATCTGGTTGTGCAATGGGCTGAGTTATTCCGAATAGCTCATACGGTAGCTTTCTAGGGCCTCAGATTGCAGGCTTTTTACCCTGATTCAGGGTACAATCAGGGTTTGTTTTCGGGGTGACCCTGATGAGATGGGGTTTTTTTGTAACACGGGCCTAAAATTTCAGCGCTTTTTTAGAAGTGAACTCTGATCTATCAGCGTGACTTCTGTAGTGAGGCCTGTTTTTCCAGCGTCGTATTGGGGACCGACCCTGACACTCCGGGTAATAGCGGATTCCGAGCCCCAAACCCCCCACCCGTTATTTCTGAATTTCCCCCCCACCCTCCCTGTCAATCATGCCAACTTGACACAGCAGGGGCTGATTTCGGCTAGAGCATGTTCCTACAAGCCTCTTCCCAAGCAAGCTCTGTCAGAAACCCAGTCACTAACCACTGGGTTAAAAGGGCTTATTAATAGCGGGCAGTGCGTGTCAAACATGTGTATCTCCTATGTTTGCATAGACTATATAGGGCCACCTCGTAGAGGGTACAACACTTAGGTATATTCACCTGTACTCTCTCTCTACTCAACTATTCACTCCTCACTTTGATATGGTATCACGCGTAGGTTAGGATCCCCCACCTACCGCTTCCGCCCCTACCCTAGCTAGGCCCCGTCGCGCCCCTCCTAGCCCAGTTGCGCCCCTCCTGGGCCCTGCCGCGCCTCCTAGCCCAGTAGCGCCCCTCCTGGGCCCCGTCGCGCCTCCTAGCCCAGTCGCGCCCCTACTGGGCCCTGCCGCGCCTCCTAGCTCAGTCGCGCCCCTCCTGGGCCCCGTCGTGCCTCCTAGCCCAGTCGCGCCCCTCCTGGGCCGTGCCGCGCCTCCTAGCCCCGTCGTGCCCCTCCTGGGCCCCGTCGTGCCTCCTAGCCCAGTCGCGCCCCTCCTGGGCCCCGTCGCGCCTCCTAGCCCAGTCGCGCCCCTCCTGGGCCCCGTCGCGCCTCCTAGCCAAGTCGCGCCCCTCCTGGGCCCTGCCGCGCCTCCTAGCCCATTCGCACCCCTCCTGGGCCCCGTCGCGTCCCCCCTAGCCCCGTCGCGCCCCTTCTGGGCCCCGTCACGCCTTTTAGCCCCGTCGCGCCCCGCCTGGCCCCGTCGCGACTGCCTGGCCCCGTCGCGACCGCCTGGCCCCGTCGCGCCCTGCCTAGCCCCGTCGCGCCCCTCCTGGGCCTCGTCGCGCCCTGCCCGGCCCCGCCGCGCTTGCTTGGCCCCGCCGCGCCTGCCTGGCGCCCGTCCCAGCCGGCTCTGCGTCCGCCCTCACGCCCTCCGCGCCCGTCTGCTCGGCCCCTGCGCCCGTCTCAGCCGGCCCCGTGCCCGCCCCGTCGGCCTGGTGCCCATTGCTTCTGGCCCCCGCGCCCGTCCTGCCCCGAGCTGTGTGCGGCCCGCCCGTCGTCCCTGCCCCGGCCCTGCATCCTCCCTAGTACTGTTCCTCATCACCTGCACCGCACTGCACCGCCCTTCACACCCCTGCACCGCACTGCACTGCACGGTTCTGCCCTGCACCGCGCTGCACCGCACTGCACCGCCCTATACCGCACTGCACCGCACTGTACCGCGCTGCACCGCACTGCACCGCACTGCACCGCCTTGCACTGCACTGCACCGCCTTGCACCGCACTGCACCGCGCTGCATAGTCCTGCACTGCTCATGATGACGGCGGAGCTTCGCTTCGACGCTGAAGGCCAGCCACTGGAGTTCGAGGCGTGGCTCGCCGACCTCCGTCGCCACCTCACTGGTCATCGGCAGGATGGCCACCCGCTTTCCGCACACCTTGACGGTACGCTCCCCTGCCCAGACCCGCCTGCTGTTCTGCCCGCTGATCCCACACCCGCTGAGCGCGAGTCTACTGCAGCCACTACACTTGCGCGCTCTGTCTGGCTTTCCCGAGACGCTGTCGCTCAGCTTGCCATTAGCAATGCCCTTCCCCCGTCTGAGCGCCCTCGCTTTAGGTCAATCACTACCGCCCAGACTTACTTAGATGCTTCATCAAGCGCTATTCCACCCCTCCTGCTGCCTCAGTGGGTCGCCTGATCCTCCCGATGCTCTTTCCCGACCTTGCGTCTTTCCCCACTGTCTCTGACCTAGCTGCCCACCTGCGCTCGATAGATGAGACCTGGCGCGCTGCCTGCACTGACACACAGCTTAGAGCCCACCAGCCGCCTATTACCTCTACCCTCTACCTGCTTGCCACCCGCCTCCCTAACCGCCTTGCCGCCGCCCGCGACCGCTTCCTTAGCATCCACCCCGGTGAGCTCACCCTCCCCGACTTTGTAGACACCCTGACTGTTATCGAGACCCGCCACCGCTCAATCGCCCAGGCGAGCGGTACCGTACCGGTCCCTATCTTTCAGGGTTGTGCCCCCGCTCAGTGTACCTTCTCCGACGGTTCTGTCGCTGTGGCTGAGACTGCTGCTGCAGCGCAGCTTTGTTCGGGGAAGGGCCGCCGCCCCAAGGCTGGGCGCGGCGGAGGAGGCAGGGGTGCAGGAATGGGTGGTGGTGGAGTCGGGTCGTCTGGTACTGGAGCGGACGAGGGGACCCTACCTGGTCCAGCGGAGCCGCCGCCTCTGCAGTCGCAGCAGCAGCAGCAGCAGCAGCCGCACCAGCCGCAGTAGTCGCAGCAGCCGCAGCCTCCGCAGCAGCCGCAGCAGTCCCCGCAGACGAGGCAGACGAGTGTCCTCCCACCCGGGTGGCCCGGCACTGGAGGTGGTCGGGCGCGTGGTGGTGTGTCGAGTGGTGGTTCGGGAGGCGTGCGTTGTCAGTACCAGATCCAGACCGGTCCTCGCCGCGGCTTCGTTTGCGGTAAGATCGGTCATTCCACTCCCCGCTGTTTTCGTCGCTTGGACGACCTGTTTCGTCAGCGCTTCGGCCCTTTGCCAGACCTCCCAGACTGGCACAGTTTGCTTAGTCGTAGGATTCAGATTTTTCACATGGACATGGATGCCATTATTTCTGCTCTGCATGTGATGTATGCTGATGACTCTAGTGCGCTCCCCACTTACTACTCCCTGTTGTCTAGTGTAGGTGTGCCTACCTTAGCCTCCCCTGCTGCGTCAGGCGTAGGATCCCCTGCTTTGTTTAGCCTTGGTGCTTCTACCGTCGCCTCGTCGCCGGACGCCACTGCATCGCTTTCCTTCACCTTGGACTCTGGTGCTTCCCGGTGCTTCTTCCGCGACTCTACTACACTGACGCCGCTTCCTGCTCCTGCTGCCGTTTCTCTTGCTGACTCCTCCGGCGGTCCGGTAGTCGCCCGCAGTTCCACCACCCTTCCCTGTCCGGCGGTTCCCTCGGGCTCCCTAACAGGTTTGCATATCCCCTCGTTCTCCAGGAACCTAGTTGGTGTCGGCTGCCTCCAAGACCTTGGCATCACCACTATGTTCCCTGGTCACGAGCGGTATGCTTTCTGTACCGAGGCCGCCACTGGTGCCCCCCTGTCCACATTCCCCCGGGACCCGGTGTCCGGCCTGTTCACGCTGGACACCGTGACCCCCCCGGCTGGGGCACCCCCTCAGGTGGCTGCGTCTACCCAGGTTGCCGCTGCCTGCTTTTGTCGGTCCCTCACTCACCCGACTCTCCTTTGGCACCACCGCCTAGGTCACCCAGTGATCCCGCGTCTGCATCACATGTCCTAGCACGGTCTCGTCCTTGGTCTCCCAAATTCTCTCCCCGCTTTTCCCTCCTCCCCTGCCCCACCTTGCACGCCTTGCATCGAGGGTCGGCTTCGCCATTCCCCTCACTCCTCCTCGTTTCCCCCCCACCACCGCGCCGCTGCAGACCCTGCACATGGACGTCTGGGGCCCCGCCCCCGTCCATGGGCCGCGTCGAGAGCGCTACTTCCTTGTGCTTGTCGACGACTTCACTCGCTACACCTCGGTCTTTCCCCTGGAGCGGAAGGCCGACGTGCCTGACGCTCTCATCCCCTGGCTTGTCTCTGCCCGTGTCCATCGAGGTCTCCCTGTCTTGCGCCTTCACTCCGACCGTGGTGGCGAGTTTGCCTCAGGGTGTCCTTGGTCGCTTTTGTCGTGCGGAGGGCATCACCCAGACGTTCACCCTACCGGACTCCCCACAGCAGAATGGGGTCGCTGAGCAACGCATCGGTTTGGCCATGGAGGTGGCTCGCACCTCCATGATCCATGCCGGTGCACCCCCATTTTCTGTGGCCGTTCGCTGTGCGCTACGCTTCTCACCAGCTTAACCTGTGGCCGCACCCCCAGCAGCCGCAGGTTTCGCCGACCTGTCTTTGGACAGGGTCTCCTGGTGACGCGTCTGCGTTCCACGTCTGGGGCTGCCTTGCTCACGTCCGTGCTCCGGCACGGACAAGCTCACAGCCCGCACCCTTCCCTGCGTCTTCCTCGGTTTTCCTCTTGACGCGTCTGACAGGCACTTCTACCACCCGCCGTCTCACCACTTCTTTCACTCTCGCGACGTCACCTTTGACGAGTCCGTCTCCTGCTACCGTCGCTTTCTCCACTGCGGTCCCCCAGTTACCCCCCCTTGTTCCTGGTCCTCCTTCCCCGGTAGTCCCTGCTCCCCCCCCTCCTCCTCCTCGTCCTGCCCCCTCTGGTGTGTCCCACGTCACCCCTCTTCCGTCGGTGGTCCGGGTTGAGGAGTCTTCGGACTCTGGTGGTCCTGCGGCGCAGTCCTTGCCGGCTGCCCCTCCCCAGGCGTCCCCTCTTCCATCGCCTCTGCCGCCGCTGTCGCCCCTACTGTCGCAGCCGTTGTCCCCTCCTCCGCCACCGCCGCAGCCGTCGTTGTCGCTGCCGCCGTCGCTGCCGTCGCAGCACCCGTTCGTTGACTCTGGGGGTGCTGGCGTTGGAGTGCGTGCTAGTCCCGGTAGCCCTGGTGGTGGTACCGGTCCTCGAGGGGTTTCGGACCCTGGGGTGTTCCCTCTTGGGGTGCTAGCGTGGAGTGTGCCGGTGGTAGCCAAGGAGAAGCTTTCGGTCCCAATGTCGCTGTTGTGCCGCCGCAGCAGCAGTCCCCGCCGGTGTCCGCCCTTCGCTGCATGCTCGGCCTTCCGTCCCCTGACCCCTGTGTCTGTTCCTCCTCGGCCGTCTTCTCCTCT